GCTGCAGAGAGGTCACAGTGTGCACATATGGGCTGCAGAGAGGGTCACATGTGCCTATAGGGCTGCAGAGAGGGTCACATGTGCACATAGGGCTGCAGAGAGGGTCACATGTGCCTATAGGGCTGCAGAGAGGGTCACATGAGCACAATAGGGCTGCGAGAGGTCAACATTGCGCACTATAGGGCTGCGCGAGAGGGTCACATGTGCCTATAGGGCTGCGGAGGGGGTCACATGTGCCTATAGGGCTGCGGAGGGGGTCACATGTGCACATAGGGCATTATGTACTCTTGATATATATATATATATATATAAGCTAATCTGTTTATATAGATGTTCTGTGATTATCTCTGTTTCTCCAAGAAATGCTCTCATTACTGCTGGCTACTCTATGTTCGATAGGACATATGCGCTAGTGAGCTAAAATTCACTAAAGAATTGAGGTGTTTGTCGATGGTATCGTTACCAATTAAATTTAAGTTAAGTGAATTTAAAGGAATGATTTCAAAATCATTGTTTAAAAATGCAAAATCTGGGAAAAAGTAGTGAAATATAGTCTCACCTAGGTTGTACGAAGGTTCTATGTCATGTTAGCGGTACTCTAGTTGATTGCTGTTACTCTAGCAATAATGGTGCTTATCGTAAAAGTGGGGAAGCGCAATGCCAGTGTGAAATAATTTTTAAAATCCTTACTTTAATCGCAAGATCGATTTAATAGCATCGAATTTAATCGTAAAATTCAGATAAATTTGCACTGTGATTAATACCTAGAAACGCCTCCAGGTGGCTACACTACTACACATTTACTAACTCAAGGCGCTCTCTGTTGCAGCTATCTCCACGCAAAGCAGATCATCCACAGAGACATGAAATCAAACAACATCTTTCTTCATGACGACATGACGGTGAAGATCGGCGACTTTGGCCTCGCTACGGTAAAGACGCGATGGAGTGACTCACAGCACACAGCCCTTCAGCCGACCGGCTCCATTCTCTGGATGGTAGGTGACAGAAGAAGAATTGTTCCCAGTCTAAATTTGCAGCAAAGATAGAGGAGAGAGGCAGTGCAAAGAATGCCATTTCATTCGTGGACTGAAAGAGTGTCATTTGCTGTGTTGCGATGTGACGCGTAAATTAGACGCTAGAAAAAGTAATGAGTCATGACGCTGCTGATCAAAATGTAAGAACTTCCATTTAGGTTTAAAATATATAACAAGGGTTTGTGTTGCTTATATAGTTATGCAGTAAAGCTGGGTTTACACTACCGACTTTATGTTGGCGAATTGGCGAGTTGGACCAATTTCCCAATTCAGCAACTCCGAGTTGGCGAAAAGAGAACATGTTCTAATCTTCCAACTAGTTTCTATCGATCGGTCGGTCGCGCGACTTTTGGGAAGTTGGTCCAATTCGCCAACACAAAGTCGGTAGTGTAAACCCAGGTTTAGTATTCCTGCACGGCAGTGTGTCGTAGAGGTGATGTCTTCTGCATGTGACCAAGCGACATTGATTATCAAGTGTTCTTTATCTATTATGAATCGTCATCGTTAGTAATTTTCGTTTCTCATTGTCGCCGATTAATGATCATTAGTCATGTTCTTCATCGATAGTTCACCAGCGGGCGTCATCGCTTGACACCGTCATCGATAATTTTCTCTTGCTTGCTGGCTTTCGACGTTATTCGGATGCGTGCAAGTGACATTGATTATCTATTATGAATCATCATTGTTAGTAATTGTCGTTCGTCATTGTCGCCAATCATTGATCATGTTCGTCGATGGTTTGACATCGTCGTCTGACGTCGTTATCGATGATTTTCTCTCGCTCGCAGGCGCCCGAGGTGATTCGCATGCAGGACTCCACCCCCTACACGTTCCAGTCGGATGTCTACGCGTTTGGCATCGTGCTCTATGAGCTGGTGACAGGCCAGCTGCCGTACGCCCACATCAGCAACAAGGACCAGGTAAGCTACGACACATCCATGCTGCCTCCAGCCCACTGGGAGTGCGATAGGCGGGGGCAGCGGGTTTTTGGGCACGTGTGGGCAGCGATGGAGATTTTAAAAAGGCAGCCTGGAGTGGGTTCTACTGATGTGGATTTAAACCCTTGAGTCCAGTCTAAAATAAAAGAACCGAGAAGAAGAAGAAGAAAGCGCGGCATGGCTTTGTGGAGACATCCGCTAGAAACACATTTTTACAATTTCTCATTTTTGAGATCGATGCAAATTCGTTGAGAGGCTTGGTGAGGGTCCAGGGCTAGATTCATTGCTGTCTTAGGCAAGTATTTGTATGTGTTTGGGGTAAGGAATCAGTCGCATGCGCACGCACGTATGCACACGCGTTTGCAATATTTCTTTCAGTTCTAATGCAGTAGCGGTGGTTTGTGTAGATTCTAATGTGGTAAAATATAATTACTTCGTAGCATTGACAGTTGTCAAATGTATGCTGTATGTTGTGTTTGCGGAGGAGTCTCGCCATCAGTGTCTGTGTTGTGTCTGTATCCAGGCGTGATAATTTTTTGCGGATTCGCGGATTTCCAGGTTTTGGTTTCCATTTTGGTCGTTCTTGAGATCGATGGAAAAACGATTAAAATTTGAGGGGGGAGGGTAAGGTGTACTTTTCTTGTCAAAATGGATGCCATTTCTAATTTAAGCTTTATAAAATTCAGGTAAAGTACGTCGAATTTCACATAGAAGTAACGGAACTCCAGATAAATATGGTGGTGAATCTATGTAATGTAAAGGCACTCTTTCAGTTGACCTCCACATAAAACATTGAAATTTTCATAGAAAATGACAAGACTTTGAATTTTTATTCATCACATTGGTCTTTTACTAAGAACAGAATGGACAATTTCCCCCGGGATGCATGGAAATGGCCTATCTGCACTTCCAAATTTCAAAATTTTCCTTGGGGGGGGGGGCTTGCCCCCAGACCCTCCTAGCAGAACAGTGCTACGCAATATATGAATTGAAATATTTCCTTCAAAAAATCTCAACATGTTCTCATGCCTGTGTATAACAGATTCTGTTCACGGTGGGACGCGGATACTTACGCCCACTGCTGAACTGCGCACGCTCCGACACGCCCAAGGCTCTCAAACGGCTCATCGAGGACTGCTGCAAGTTCAACCGCGAGGAGCGCCCTCTATTTCCAGTCGTGAGTACTGTTATTATTATTATTATTTTATTTATTTATAATGCGTAAAGGATGCGTATATATCAAGAGTAGATAATAGGAGAAGAGTATGACACCGTTTTAACAGCGTTTTGCATAGTTTTCAACTTGTAAATATTCTATCAATATGTGAATAAATATATTTACTAATTAGTTTACAACT